AGCCCGAACACCCCAAATATTTTTTTTCATTTTTCTTTTTTTTTGGTCTAACTAACTCCAAAAGGTTGGAAAAGAGTTCCTACAAAGGTTTTGGACAGTGATTTTAACCCTAACACCAAAAACCTTAAACCTTACCCTAGCCCCATAACCTAATACCCGGGTATTACCTTCAGGAAGCCCGAACACCCCAAAAAATTTTTTTTTTCATTTTACATTTTTTTTGGTGTAACCAACTCCAAAAGGTCTGAAACATGTTCCTAAAAAGGTTTTGGACAGTGATTTTAACCCTAACGCCAAAAACCTTAAACCTTACCCTAGCCCCATAACCTAATACCCGGGTATTACCTTCAGGAAGCCCGAACACCCCAAATATTTTTTTTTCATTTATCTTTTTTTTTTTTGTCTAACTAACTCCAAAAGGTTGGAAAAGACTTCCTACAAAAGACTAACTCCAAAAGGTTGGAAAAGACTTCCTACAAAGGTAATACAAAGTATTACCTTCAGGAAGCCCGAACACCCAAAAAAATTTTTTTTTCATTTTACATTTCTTTTGGTGTAACCAACTCCAAAAGGTCTGAAACATGTTCCTAAAAAGGTTTTGGACAGTGATTTTAACCCTAACGCCAAAAACCTTAAACCTTACCCTAGCCCCAAAACCTAATACCCGGGTATTACCTTCAGGAAGCCCGAACACCCCAAATATTTTTTTTTCATTTTACATTTTTTTTTGGTGTAACCAACTCCAAAAGGTCTGAAACATGTTCCTAAAAAGGTTTTGGACAGTGATTTTAACCCTCACGCCAAAAACCTTAAACCTTACCCTAGCCCCATAACCTAATACCCGGGTATTACCTTCAGGAAGCCCGAACACCCCAAATATTTTTTTTCATTTTTCGTTTTTTTTTGGTCTAACTAACTCCAAAAGGTTGGAAAATAGTTCCTACAAAGGTTTTGGACAGTGATTTTAACCCTAACGCCAAAAACCTTAAACCTAACCCTAGCCCCAAAACCTAATACCCGGGTATTACCTTCAGGAAGCCCGAACACCCCAAATATTTTTTTTTTCATTTGTCTTATTTTTTTTGTCTAACTTATTCCCAAAGGTTGGAAAAGAGTTCCTACAAAGGTTTTGGACAGTGATTTTAACCCTTACGCCAAAAACCTTAAACCTTACCCTAGCCCCATAACCTAATACCCGGGTATTACCTTCAGGAAGCCCGAACACCCCAAATATATATTTTTTATTTTTCTTTTTGTTTTGGTCTAACTTGCTCTCAAAGGTTGGAAAAGAGTTCCTACAAAGGTTTTGGACATTGATTTTAACCCTAACGCCAAAAACCTTAAACATTACCCTAGCCCAGAAACCTAGTATTACCTTCAGGAAGCCCGAACACCCAAAAAAAATTTTTTTTCATTTTACATTTTTTTTGGTGTAACCAACTCCAAAAGGTCTGAAACATGTTCCTAAAAAGGTTTTGGACAGTGATTTTAACCCTAACGCCAAAAACCTTAAACCTTACCCTAGCCCCATAACCTAATACCTTGGTATTACCTTCAGGAAGCCCGAACACCCCAAATATTTTTTTTCATTTTTCTTTTTTTTTTGGTCTAACTAACTCCAAAAGGTTGGAAAATAGTTCCTACAAAGGTTTTGGACAGTGATTTTAACCCTAACGCCAAAAACCTTAAACCTTACTATAGCCCCATAACCTAATACCTTGGTATTACCTTCAGGAAGCTTGAACACCCCAAATATTTTTTTTTCATTTTACATTTTTTTTGGTGTAACCTACTCCAAAAGGTCTGAAACATGTTCCTAAAAAGGTTTTGGACAGTGATTTTAACCCTAACGCCAAAAACCTTAAACCTTACCCTAGCCCCAAAACCTAATACCCGGGTATTACCTTCAGGAAGCCCGAACACCCCAAATATTTTTTTTTCATTTTACATTTTTTTTTGGTGTTACCAACTCCAAAAGGTCTGAAACATGTTCCTAAAAAGGTTTTGGACAGTGATTTTAACCCTAACGCCAAAAACCTTAAACCTTACCCTAGCCCCAAAACCTAATACCTGGGTATTACCTTCAGGAAGCCCGAACACCCCAAATATATTTTTTTCTTTTTTCTTTTTTTTTGGTCTAACTAACTCCAAAAGGTTGGAAAAGAGTTCCTACAAAGGTTTTGGACAGTCATTTTAACCCTAACACCAAAAACCTTAAACCTTACCCTAGCCCCAAAACCTAATACCCGGGTATTACCTTCAGGAAGCCCGAACACCCCAAATATTTTTTTTTCATTTATCTTTTTTTTTTTGTCTAACTAATTCCCAAAGGTTGGAAAAGAGTTCCTACAAAGGTTTTGGACAGTGATTTTTACCCTCACGCCGAAAAACCTTAAACCTTACCCTAGCCCCATAACCTAATACCCGGGTATTACCTTCAGGAAGCCCGAACACCCCAAATATATTTTTTTATTTTTCTTTTTTTTTGGTCTAACTTGCTCTCAAAGGTTGGAAAAGAGTTCCTACAAAGGTTTTGGACATTGATTTTAACCCTAACGCCAAAAACCTTAAACCTTACCCTAGCCCCATAACCTAATACCCGGGTATTACCTTCAGGAAGCCCGAAGACCCCAAATATATTTTTTTCATTTTTTTTTTTTTTGGTCTAACTAACTCCAAAAGGTTGGAAAAGAGTTCCTACAAAGGTTTTGGACAGTGATTTTAACCCTAACACCAAAAACCTTAAACCTTACCCTAGCCCCAAAACCTAATACCCGGGTATTACCTTCAGGAAGCCCGAACACCCCACATACTTTTTTTTTTCATTTTACATTTTTTTTTGGGTGCAACCAACTCCAAAAGGTCTTAAACATGTTCCTTAAAAGGTTTTGGACACTGATTTTAACTCTAACGCCAAAAACCTTAAACCTTACCCTAGCCCCAAAACCTAATACCCGGGTATTACCTTCAGTAACCCAAAAACCCCAAATATTTTTTTTCATTTTTCATTTTTTTTTTGGTCTAACTAACTCCAAAAGGTTGGAAAATAGTTCCTAAAAAGGTTTTGGACAGTGATTTTAACCCTAACGCCAAAAAACTTAAACCTTACTATAGCCCCAAAACCTAATACCCGGGTATTACCTTCAGGAAGCCCGAACACCCCAAATATTTTTTTTTTTCATTTTACATTTTTTTTGGTGTAACCAACTCCAAAAGGTCTTAAACATGTTCCTAAAAAGGTTTTGGACACTGATTTTAACTCTAACGCCAAAAACCTTAAACCTTACCCTAGCCCCATAACCTAATACCCGGGTATTACCTTCAGGAAACCCGAACACCCCAAATATTTTTTTTTCTTTTTCTTTTTTTTTGTCTAACTAACTCCCAAAGGTCTGAAACATGTTCCTTAAAAAATATTGGACAGTTATTTTAACCCTAACGCCAAAAACCTTAAACCTAACCCTAGCCCCAAAACCTAATACCCGGGTATTACCTTCAGGAAGCCCGAACACCCCAAATATTTTTTTTTTCATTTATCTTTTTTTTTTTTTGTCTAACTAACTCCAAAAGGTTGGAAAAGAGTTCCTACAAAGGTTTTGGACAGTGATTTTAACCCTAACACCAAAAACCTTAAACATTACCCTAGCCCAGAAACCTAGTATTACCTTCAGGAAGCCCGAACACCCCAAAAAATTTTTTTTTCATTTTACATTTTTTTTGGTGTAACCAACTCCAAAAGGTCTGAAACATGTTCCTAAAAAGGTTTTGGACAGTGATTTTAACCCTTACGCCAAAAACCTTAAACCTTACCCTAGCCCCATAACCTAATACCCGGGTATTACCTTCAGGAAGCCCGAACACCCCAAATATTTTTTTTTCATTTATCTTTTTTTTTTTTTGTCTAACTAACTCCAAAAGGTTGGAAAAGACTTCCTACAAAAGACTAACTCCAAAAGGTTGGAAAAGACTTCCTACAAAGGTAATACAAAGTATTACCTTCAGGAAGCCCGAACACCCCAAATATTTTTTTTTTCATTTTACATTTTTTTTGGTGTAACCAACTCCAAAAGGTCTGAAACATGTTCCTAAAAAGGTTTTGGACAGTGATTTTAACCCTAACGCCAAAAACCTTAAACCTTACCCTAGCCCCATAACCTAATACCCGGGTATTACCTTCAGGAAGCCCGAACACCCCAAATATTTTTTTTTCATTTTACATTTTTTTTTGGTGTTACCAACTCCAAAAGGTCTGAAACATGTTCCTAAAAAGGTTTTGGACAGTGATTTTAACCCTAACGCAAAAAACCTTAAACCTTACCCTAGCCCCATAACCTAATACCTGGGTATTTCCTTCAGGAAGCCCAAAGACCCCAAATATATTTTTTTCTTTTTCTTTTTTTTTTGTCTAACTAACTCCCAAAGGTCTGAAACATGTTCCTTAAAAAATATTGGACAGTTATTTTAACCCTAACGCCAAAAACCTTAAACCTAACCCTAGCCCCAAAACCTAATACCCGGGTATTACCTTCAGGAAGCCCGAACACCCCAAATATATTTTTTTCATTTTTTTTTTTTTTTGGTCTAACTAACTCCAAAAGGTTGGAAAAGAGTTCCTACAAAGGTTTTGGACAGTGATTTTAACCCTAACGCCAAAAACCTTAAACCTAATCCTAGCCCCAAAACCTAATACCCGGGTATTACCTTCAGGAAGCCCGAACACCCCAATTTTTTTTTTCTTTTTCTTTTTTTTTTTGTCTAACTAACTCCCAGAGGTCTGAAAGATGTTCCTTAAAAAATATTGGACAGTGATTTTAACCCTAACGCCAAAAACCTTAAACCTTACTATAGCCCCATAACCTAATACCCGGGTATTACCTTCAGGAAGCTTGAACACCCCAAATATTTTCTTTTCATTTTACATTTTTTTTTGGTGTAACCTACTCCAAAAGGTCTGAAACATGTTCCTGAAAAGGTTTTGGACAGTGATTTTAACCCTAACCCCAAAAACCTTAAACCTTACCCTAGCCCCATAACCTAATACCTGGGTATTTCCTTCAGGAAGCCCGAAGACCCCAAATATATTTTTTTCTTTTTTCTTTTTTTTTTGGTCTAACTAACACCAAAAGGTTGGAAAAGAGTTCCTACAAAGGTTTTGGACAGTGATTTTAACCCTAACACCAAAAACCTTAAACCTTACCCTAGCTCCAAAACCTAATATACGGGTATTACCTTCAGGAAGCCCGAACACCCCAAATATTTTTTTTTTTCATTTTACATTTTTTTTTGGTGTAACCAACTCCAAAAGGTCTTAAACATGTTCCTAAAAAGGTTTTGGACACTGATTTTAACTCTAACGCCAAAAACCTTAAACCTTACCCTAGCCCCATAACCTAATACCTACCTAATATTACCTTCAGGAAACCCGAACACCCCAAATATTTTTTTTTTCTTTTTCTTTTTTTTTTGTCTAACTAACTCCCAAAGGTCTGAAACATGTTCCTTAAAAAATATTGGACAGTTATTGTAACCCTAACGCCAAAAACCTTAAACCTAACCCTAGCACCAAAACCTAATACCCGGGTATTTCCTTCAGGAAGCCCGAACACCCCAAATATATTTTTTTCATTTTTTTTTTTTTTGGTCTAACTAACTCCAAAAGGTCGGAAAAGAGTTCCTGCAAAAGGTTTTGGACGGTGATTTTAACCCTAACGCCAAAAACCTTAAACCTAATCCTAGCCCCAAAACCTAATACCCGGGTATTACCTTCAGGAAGCTTGAACACCCCAAATATTTTCTTTTCATTTTACATTTTTTTTTGGTGTAACCTACTCCAAAAGGTCTGAAACATGTTCCTAAAAAGGTTTTGGACAGTGATTTTAACCCTAACACCAAAAACCTTAAACCTTACCCTAGCCCCAAAACCTAGTACCCGGGTATTACCTTCAGGAAGCTTGAACACCCCAAATATATTTTTTTCATTTTACATTTTTTTTGTCTAACTAACTCCAAAAGGTTGGAAAAAGAGTTCCTACAAAGGTTTTGGACAGTGATTTTAACCCTAACGCCAAAAACCTTAAACCTTACCCTAGCCCCAAAACCTAATACCCGGGTATTACCTTCAGTAAGCCCCAACACCCCAAATATTTTTTTTTCATTTTACATTTTTTTGGTGTAACCAACTCTAAAAGGTCTTAAACATGTTCCTAAAAAGGTTTTGGACACTGATTTTAACTCTAACACCAAAAACCTTAAACCTTACCCTAGCCCCATAACCTAATACCCGGGTATTACCTTCAGGAAACCCGAACACCCCAAATATATATTTTTTTCTTTTTCTTTTTTTTTGTCTAACTAACTCCCAAAGGTCTGAAACATGTTCCTTAAAAAATATTTGTAGTGATTTGAAATGAGCCTCATACGGTCGCACCAAAATATATGTAGCGATTTGAAATGAGCCTCACAAGGCCGCACCAAAATAATACTTGGCGATTGGAATTTATAATAAATGTCTGAAGATTAATAATCTCAAATTATGACATTTATGCACTCGTTGAAAGGGGCACCACCCACCCTTAATGGTGGGAAAATAAAGAAAACAAAAGTTTAATTCAGAAATCAAACATCAAGTCAGTTTTTATTAATCAGCCTTAATTAATCAGTCTTAATTAATCAGTCTCATATCTTAAGTCGAAATTCTAATTTCAGGGACTCCACTTCTGGAAGAACACTAACAGACAGGAACTTAGAAAAATAATGATCTGTTTATTACAGGATAAATGATGGTACAACACACATGCAATAAATGATGATAAGATAATGAAGATAAATAATAATAGGTGAATAAATAAAGATTCTGAGTCAGGCTAAGAGCACTAAAGTTAATGATAGTGAGTGAATATGCGCTAACATATTAACCTACACTAACTTTGGTGTCGAGATAAACTCGGATGTGGATTTGGAGGAATCTAAGATCACCAGAAATAGGTGGATATCTAAGTTATGAACGCATGAGACAGCATCAGCCCTGTCTGGAGCTCTGGAGGTTTGCATACTTAAGTGAGACTGGTCCTTGGAGAAGATGGAGCAGGTTCCGAAGGTCCGGGGCTACTGGCGGTTCGAGCGGTTCAGCTCAGAAGACGACTGAAGTCAGCCGAAGGATGAGCCAGGAGTTGCAGCACTCGGGCCCGAAGTAAAGCCAGCGCCTGTGGATCCTGTGGATGCTCGTTTGGGTACTTCTTTGGTCTCACTCAAAAACTCTGGCACAGAGGATGACCTGGGCCTACTGGGTTGCGTTCAGAGGTGACTTTGAGATCACGCAGAAAACTCAGAAAAACGAGACTCGAGCAGAGAAAACTTTCAAAAATGGCTTTGCAAAATTAAAGAAAAATCAATCAAAGGCTTAATCTTGAATTGCTATGCGCACAAAAAGTTGAAGTTTCAAAACTTGAACTAAGACGATGTTAAAGAAAAATCAACGTGAATCAACACGTGGCGTAAAACTTAGAAGACTAAGAAAAAGTTCTAAGAGAAAACAAAGAAGAAGAGGACCACAGAAGGGTGTGGACAGAAGAGAAGGGCCCAAGAGTAAGGGGCCTAAGAGAGACAGGAGAGTCAGCACACAAGAGCAGAAGCAGAAGAGACATAAGAGAAGCATAAGAGAGTGAGCAACCCCACTTCACTGGTTTTATCTTCTCACACTGGGAGTGGCTCCGGCGTGTGTGTGTGAGACAGAGGAGGGTCGTGTGGTCTTTGATTATTTGATCTAACTTATTCTTTTGGCTGGTAAAAGAGTCAGATCTGATACTCACTCACTATGATTAATATCATTGAATGCTTGGTTTCATGACAAATAATTTGACACTAAACACATATGAATGAAGTGTAGGATCACATCAAACATTCTCATTATGTTTAAAGTATCACATTGAACATGCTAAATTACTCTGAAATGAAACAGATAGTAACACATGGAAACTGTGAACAACAAAAGAGTAAACACATGTGAATGAACTTCATCATGATTAATAATGGATTCTAAATACTCACATTAAGGTTATTCAATGACATTATAACCACCTAATGGTTAAAAATACTAAATAAACGATTAAAATATAGACCAAACATTTCTAAACTATTTCTGTGTTCATAGAGTAAAGTTATGATCCATAGTCAATAAATGTAACTCTTAAAAGTTCATGAAACAGTCTGAAAAGCTGTTGGTCTAAAGAAACTAAAGAGCGATAACTCGGCTTCTGGAGCACATAGAAAAATGGGAAACATCTCATTTTAACACAAATTTCATGATTAGACAGATTAGTACATTGCTGAATGCATAAGATGTCATGATCAGTCATTTGTATTCTTTCACCAAAGGAATGCAGTCTTTATCAGTGTATGGTCGAGCAGGGTTTTACGACCGAGGTCTGGAGGTCAGTGTCCCCCCCTTATCCTGGGGTCCGTATGTTCACACACTTTAAGACGCTAAATCTCAAATGGGAGATCTGGGTTGAGGTTAATGTTTATTTAGATGGTCAGCAAATGGAGTCAGTTTGAAAGGTAATAAAAACTCTGTCTCTGTTCGCCGAACTGACCAATCCTGAAGAGTCAGAGGTTTAGTCAACCTCCGGTTGGGTCACTTATTTAACCTGAAAGTGCAAACACGTCTGGAAAGATTTATATCCTGTTTCCTGGGACCAGATAAGGAAACTTTCCTGTAAGGAATGTGTGGGTTTCACATCCAGGGTTGTCTTGATTGCTACATATTGGACAGTTATTTTAACCCTAACGCCAAAAACCTTAAACCTAACCCTAGCCCCAAAACCTAATACCCGGGTATTACCTTCAGGAAGCCCGAAACACCCCAAATATTTTTTTTTCATTTATCTTATTTTTTTTGTCTAACTTATTCCCAAAGGTTGGAAAAGAGTTCCTACAAAGGTTTTGGACAGTGATTTTTACCCTCACGCCGAAAAACCTTAAACCTTACCCTAGCCCCATAACCTAATACCCGGGTATTACCTTCAGGAAGCCCGAACACCCCAAATATATATTTTTTATTTTTCTTTTTGTTTTGGTCTAACTTGCTCTCAAATGTTGGAAAAGAGTTCCTACAAAGGTTTTGGACATTGATTTTAACCCTAACGCCAAAAACCTTAAACCTTACCCTAGCCCCATAACCTTATACCCGGGTATTACCTTCAGGAAACCCGAACACCCCAAATATTTTTTTTTTCTTTTTCTTTTTTTGTCTAACTAACTCCCAAAGGTCTGAAACATGTTCCTTAAAAAATATTGGACAGTTATTTTAACCCTAACGCCAAAAACCTTAAACCTAACCCTAGCCCCAAAACCTAATACCCGGGTATTTCCTTCAGGAAGCCCGAACACCCCAAATATTTTTTTTTCATTTATCTTTTTTTTTTTTGTCTAACTAATTCCCAAAGGTTGGAAAAGAGTTCCTACAAAGGTTTTGGACAGTGATTTTAACCCTAACGCCAAAAACCTTAAACCTAACCCTAGCCCCAAAACCTAATACCCGGGTATTACCTTCAGGAAGCCCGAACACCCCAAATACACTCACCGGCCACTTTATTAGGTACACCATGCTAGTAACGGGTTGGACCCCCTTTTGCCTTCAGAACTGCCTCAATTCTTCGTGGCATAGATTCAACAAGGTGCTGGAAGCATTCCTCAGAGAGCTTGGTCCATATTGACATGATGGCATCACACAGTTGCCGCAGATTTGTCGGCTGCACATCCATGATGCGAATCTCCCGTTCCACCACATCCCAAAGATGCTCTATTGGATTGAGATCTGGTGACTGTGGAGGCCATTTGAGTACAGTGAACTCATTGTCATGTTCAAGAAACCAGTCTGAGATGATTCCAGCTTTATGACATGGCGCATTATCCTGCTGAAAGTAGCCATCAGAAGTTGGGTACATTGTGGTCATAAAGGGATGGACATGGTCAGCAACAATACTCAGGTAGGCTGTGGCGTTGCAACGATGCTCAATTGGTACCAAGGGGCCCAAAGAGTGCCAAGAAAATATTCCCCACACCATGACACCACCACCACCAGCCTGAACCGTTGATACAAGGCAGGATGGATCCATGCTTTCATGTTGTTGACGTCAAATTCTGACCCTACCATCCGAATGTCGCAGCAGAAATCGAGACTCATCAGACCAGGCAACGTTTTTCCAATCTTCTATTGTCCAATTTCGATGAGCTTGTGCAAATTGTAGCCTCAGTTTCCTGTTCTTAGCTGAAAGGAGTGGCACCCAGCGTGGTCTTCTGCTGCTGTAGCCCATCTGCCTCAAAGTTTGACGTACTGTGCGTTCAGAGATGCTCTTCTGCCTACCTTGGTTGTAACGGGTGGTTATTTGAGTCACTGTTGCCTTTCTATCAGCTCGAACCAGTCTGGCCATTCTCCTCTGACCTCTGGCATCAACAAGGCATTTCCGCCCACAGAACTGCCACTCACTAGATATTTTTTTCTTTTTCGGACCATTCTCTGTAAACCCTAGAGATGGTTGTGCGTGAAAATCCCAGTAGATCAGCAGTTTCTGAAATACTCAGACCAGCCCTTCTGGCACCAACAACCATGCCACGTTCAAAGTAACTCAAATCACCTTTCTTCCCCATACTGATGCTCGGTTTGAACTGCAGGAGATTATCTTGACCATGTCTACATGCCTAAATGCACTAAGTTGCCGCCATGTGATTGGCTGATTAGAAATTAAGTGTTAACGAGCAGTTGGACAGGTGTACCTAATAAAGTGGCCGGTGAGTGTATATATTTTTTATTTTTCTTTTTTTTTTGGTCTAACTTGCTCTCAAAGGTTGGAAAAGAGTTCCTACAAAGGTTTTGGACATTGATTTTAACCATAACACCAAAAACCTTAAACATTACCCTAGCCAGGAAACCTAGTATTACCTTCAGGAAGCCCGAACACCCCAATTTTTTTTTTCTTTTTCTTTTTTTTTTGTCTAACTAACTCCCAGAGGTCTGAAAGATGTTCCTTAAAAAATATTGGACAGTGATTTTAACCCTTACGCCAAAAACCTTAAACCTTACCCTAGCCCCAAAACCTAATACCCGGGTATTACCTTCAGGAAGCTTGAACACCCCAAATATTTTTTTTTCTTTTTTCTTTTTTTTTTTGGTCTAACTAACTCCAAAAGGTTGGAAAAGAGTTCCTACAAAGGTTTTGGACAGTGATTTTAACCCTAACACCAAAAACCTTAAACCTTACCCTAGCCCCAAAACCTAATATACGGGTATTACCTTCAGGAAGCCCGAACACCCCAAATATTTTTTTTTTCATTTTACATTTTTTTGGTGTAACCAACTCCAAAAGGTCTTAAACATGTTCCTAAAAAGGTTTTGGACACTGATTTTAACTCTGACGCCAAAAACCTTAAACCTTACCCTAGCCCCATAACCTAATACCTACCTAATATTACCTTCAGGAAACCCGAACACCCCAAATATTTTTTTTTTCTTTTTCTTTTTTTTTTTTGTCTAACTAACTCCCAAAGGTCTGAAACATGTTCCTTAAAAAATATTGGACAGTGATTTTAACCCTAACGCCAAAAACCTTAAACCTAACCCTAGCCCCAAAACCTAATACCCGGGTATTACCTTCAGTAAGCTCGAAAACCCCAAATTTATTTTTTCTTTTTCTTTTTTTTTTGTCTAACTAACTCCCAGAGGTCTGAAAGATGTTCCTTAAAAAATATTGGACGCTGATTTTAACCCTAACGCCAAAAACCTTAAACCTAACCCTAGCCCCAAAACCTAATACCCGGGTATTACCTTCAGGAAGCCCGAAAACCCCAAATATTTTTTTTCATTTTTCGTTTTTTTTTTGGTCTAACTAACTCCAAAAGGTTGGAAAATAGTTCCTACAAAGGTTTTGGACATTGATTTTAACCCTAACACCAAAAACCTTAAACATTACCCTAGCCAGGAAACCTAGTATTACCTTCAGGAAGCCCGAACACCCCAATTTTTTTTTTCTTTTTCTTTTTTTTTGTCTAACTAACTCCCAGAGGTCTGAAAGATGTTCCTTAAAAAATATTAGACAGTGATTTTAACCCTTACGCCAAAAACCTTAAACCTTACCCTAGCCCCAAAACCTAATACCCGGGTATTACCTTCAGGAAGCTTGAACACCCCAAATATTTTTTTTTTTTTTTTTTTGTCTAACTAACTCCCAAAGGTCTGAAACATGTTCCTTAAAAAATATTGGACAGTGATTTTAACCCTAACGCCAAAAACCTTAAACCTAACCCTAGCCCCAAAACCTAATACCCGGGTATTACCTTCAGGAAGCCCGAACACCCCAAATATATTTTTTTCATTTTTTTTTTTTTTTGGTCTAACTAACTCCAAAAGGTCGGAAAAGAGTTCCTACAAAGGTTTTGGACGGTGATTTTAACCCTAACGCCAAAAACCTTAAACCTAATCCTAGCCCCAAAACCTAATACCCGGGTATTACCTTCAGGAAGCCCGAACACCCCAAATTTTTTTTTTCTTTTTCTTTTTTTTTTGTCTAACTAACTCCCAGAGGTCTGAAAGATGTTCCTTAAAAAATATTGGACAGTGATTTTAACCCTAACGCCAAAAACCTTAAACCTAACCCTAGCCCCAAAACCTAATACCCGGGTATTACCTTCAGTAAGCCCGAAAACCCCAAATATTTTTTTTCATTTTTCGTTTTTTTTTTGGTCTAACTAACTCCAAAAGGTTGGAAAATAGTTCCTACAAAGGTTTTGGACAGTGATTTTAACCCTAACGCCAAAAACCTTAAACCTTACCCTAGCCCCATAACCTAATACCCGGGTATTACCTTCAGGAAGCTTGAACACCCCAAATATTTTCTTTTCATTTTACATTTTTTTTTGGTGTTACCAACTCCAAAAGGTCTGAAACATGTTCCTACAAAGGTTTTGGACAGTGATTTTAACCCTAACACCAAAAACCTTAAACCTTACCCTAGCCCCAAAACCTAATACCCGGGTATTACCTTCAGGAAGCCCGAACACCCCAAATATATTTTTTTCATTTTACATTTTTTTTTGTCTAACTAACTCCAAAAGGTTGGAAAAGAGTTCCTACAAAGGTTTTGGACAGTGATTTAAACCCTAACACCAAAAACCTTAAACCTTACCCTAGCCCCAAAACCTAATACCCGGGTATTACCTTCAGGAAGCCCGAACACCCCAAATATTTTTTTTTCATTTTACTTTTTTTTTGGTGTAACCAACTCTAAAAGGTCTTAAACATGTTCCTAAAAAGGTTTTGGACACTGATTTTAACTCTAACACCAAAAACCTTAAACCTTACCCTAGCCCCATAACCTAATACCCGGGTATTACCTTCAGGAAACCCGAACACCCCAAATATATATTTTTTTCTTTTTTTTTTGTCTAACTAACTCCCAGAGGTCTGAAAGATGTTCCTTAAAAAATATTAGACAGTGATTTTAACCCTTACGCCAAAAACCTTAAACCTTACCCTAGCCCCAAAACCTAATACCCGGGTATTACCTTCAGGAAGCTTGAACACCCCAAATATTTTTTTTTCTTTTTTTTTTTTTTGTCTAACTAACTCCCAAAGGTCTGAAACATGTTCCTTAAAAAATTTTGGACAGTTATTTTAACCCTAACGCCAAAAACCTTAAACCTAACCCTAGCCCCAAAACCTAATACCCGGGTATTACCTTCAGGAAGCCCGAACACCCCAAATATATTTTTTTCATTTTTTTTTTTTTTGGTCTAACTAACTCCAAAAGGTCGGAAAAGAGTTCCTACAAAGGTTTTGGACAGTGATTTTAACCCTAACGCCAAAAACCTTAAACCTAATCCTAGCCCCAAAACCTAATACCCGGGTATTACCTTCAGGAAGCCCGAACACCCCAAATTTTTTTTTCTTTTTTTTTTTTTTTTGTCTAACTAACTCCCAAAGGTCTGAAACATGTTCCTTAAAAAATATTGGACAGTGATTTTAACCCTAACGCCAAAAACCTTAAACCTAACCCTAGCCCCAAAACCTAATACCCGGGTATTACCTTCAGGAAGCCCGAAAACCCCAAATATTTTTTTTCATTTTTCGTTTTTTTTTTGGTCTAACTAACTCCAAAAGGTTGGAAAATAGTTCCTACAAAGGTTTTGGACAGTGATTTTAACCCTAACGCCAAAAACCTTAAACCTTACCCATAGCCCCATAACCTAATACCCGGGTATTACCTTCAGGAAGCTTGAACACCCCAAATATTTTCTTTTCATTTTACATTTTTTTTGGTGTAACCTACTCCAAAAGGTCTGAAACATGTTCCTAAAAAGGTT